TTTCATTTGTCTCCCACTTCTTTTCATTTGTCTCCCACTTCTTTTCATTGTCTCCCAGGTTGGGTGCTTGTGGTCGGGTTCCCGGCCGGCTTGTCTCCCACTTCCTTTCATTTGTCTCCCTTCTCATTTGTCTCCCAGCCTGGGTGCTTGTGGTCGGGTTCCCGGCTGGCTTGTCTCCCACTTCCTTTCATTGTCTCCCAGCCTCGGTGCTTGTGGTCGGGTTCCCGGCCGGCTTGTCTCCCATGTCCTTTCATTTGTCTCCCACTTAAGATGTGTCCGCCCTTTGTGTCACTGCTGGTGTCCGCCCATTTCCACTGGCCATGTAGCATTTCTATTCATTTGTCTCCCAAAAATCTGTCACTGCTGGTGTCCGCCCTTTTCCGCTGGCCACGTAGCATTTCTATTCGTTTGTCTCCCAGGTCTGTTACTGCTGGTGTCCGCCCTTTTCCGCTGGCCATGTAGCATTTCTATTCATTTGTCTCCCAGGTCTGTCATTGGTGGTGTCCGCCCTCTTCCGTTGGCCTGGTGTCCGCCCTTTTCTGCAGGCAATGCAGCATTCTATTCATTTGTCTCCCAGGTCTGTCAATGGTGGTGTCCGCCCTTTTCCGCTGGCCACGCAGCATTTCTATTCATTTGTCCACTGGTGGTGTCCGCCCTGTTCTGCTGTTTCTATTGATTTGTCTCCCAGGTCTGTCACTGCTGGTGTCCGCCCTTTTCCGTTGGCCATGTAGCATTTCTATTCATTTGTCTCCCAGGTCTGTCACTGCCAGTGTCCTCTCTTTTCCGCTGGCCATGCAGCATTTCGATTCATTTCCAAGGTCTGTCACTGCTGGTGTCCGCCCTTGTCCGTTGGTCATGCAGCATTTCTATTCATGTGTCTCCCAGGCTGATGTCCTCTCTGTTCAGTTGGGACGGAGGGCATGCGTCAGGCGCCAAAAATCAATTTCATGTCACATCCTTCCCTCCTCATGCTTCTATTTCTTGTTCTCACGTGGTCAGCTCCTTGCTGATTGAGCAGCATGACCAGCATCATGTTCGCACTTGAAGAATAATTCCCCAAAAGGTTTGCTGTTAGGGTTTCTCAATTCTTTCTTAAGATGTGTCCGCCCGCTCTGTACTGCTGTGTCCGTCTCTGCCTTGCAATCCTTTACGTTCGTCTCCCAGCTCTGGGCTGCTGTGGCCGCCTCTGCCTTGGAATCCTTTGTCTCCCAGCTCTGGACGTCGCAAGCTCTAGTTTCGATTTTGAAAAACACAAACTGTTTGGGGTCTACGGTGGTGTAATTTTTTTAAAGCCTGCCAGGGTTTTGTGACTATGGTCTTTTGAAATTTTTGATTTTTTTGAGCCTGCCAGTGTTTTTTTCAATTTTTGGTCTACCCCACCTTGCAAAAATGCTGGCAGGCTCAAAAAACAAAAATTTATATCACCAGTATATAGCTTATATTAAATATATATTTGATTAGATGTAGGAGGATGTTCATTTAGCATTTTGATCAGACACCATATGCACATTGCAGATTCAGATTTGTTGGTACCCCCCACCTCCCCTATTTGTCTGAAAGTGTTGTTTTTTTTTGGGGGGTACTATATATATATATATATATCTATAGGTATATATATATATGTATGTATACATATTTACGTACATATATACATATATGTATATTTAATAATAGTACCAAGTATGTAACATTTGGCCGTCGTGGTGTAGCAGTAGCAGTAACAGAAGGAGGGATGGGGGCAGTGTAGTCATGGTGGTCGGGGATGGTGGTTGGGCACCATTGGACCAACACAGACAGAGAGAGCGAGCACGTGGCAAGCTCAGTATTATCTCTAAAGCCATTGGAAATGCAAAGAATGCTAAACGTTGATTTGGACACTCTATAGATTCCCCGAGGTTTGCAAGAAGTGGGCATGGCGAGTGTTGGATGAGTTCTTCGAGCAGGGTGATGAGGACAGTGTGTCTTGATCCCGCTCTTGGTCACAGCTTTTCTAGCTATACCGCTGCGCGCTTATACGAAATGGAGGCATACCAGCTCAGTCGGTACTTTTGTTCTTTAGCTTCGGACTTCAGAGCTTCAAGGCCCGACTTACACCTGCGACCCGTGTCTACCTGAAGCTGCGATCAACCGGTCTGCTGCAATGTTTTCGGCCGACACACGAAGAATTCGCAGGAGAAGTCGCTAAGCCTCCCTGTGGGAATGCTAAACGACAGAGACAAGATCAATCGGTGCGGGCCCTGCTGATGTAGCACGTCACGAGGGCACCGGCGACAAGTGTCGGCACTAAACAGCTCGGGCTGCGTCAAGCTGTTTTGAACTCTTCGCAACTTCAAGTGTTGCCCTCTTGAAAAAGCTGAAAGCTTCGAACCCATATGCTTCTGTCATGAGCTCCAGGGTTGTCACCAGTTCTTGGATGTCACTAGACTAGACCTTGGGAGAATAGAAAGGCCGGAGCCAGCGAGGCCTGGTTCGCAACATGGCTTCATCCAGTTCTTGGTGGCGCCGTTGGTCTTCAGCACGGCCCGGGGGCCCCGGAACGGATCGGTCCTCTCTGCGCAGGACCCGCGTTCGCTGCGCGCGCGGTGCAGAGAGGTGTCCGGCCGTCCCCGGGTTCTGAGGAATTCGGACAGGTGATGCCTGGAGAGTCGTGACGGCGACGAAGGGCTTGAGAGTCGGGGCTTTATGAGGAATTTGTTTTGGAACCCAAGCAGGTCGGATTTGGTACAGCACACTGGGTATGGTACTCGGGGTCTTTTTTCCATTGTGCTTGGGGGGAGCCACTCATTGCCAGCATCTTGTTGATCTCAGCGGTCGCACCACGGGCCTAAGGTGAGGATTTTCCCGGACCTGCACCCTGCCCGGAGCCCACGGAGTGGAGTGGGAGAGAGTTGGCCTGGGTCGTTTGGGCTGGGCAAGCCCTCCAGCTCTGGTCGCCGCTGGGAAAACGCTCAAGGGGGTTCCATCGATGTCACCACTTCGAGCGGGGGTCGCAGCATGTGATTGTTTTACACTTCCTTCGATCAGATGCAGATGCCATGTACCTCGCCCAGCTCCTGAAACATATTCAGCATCTCATCAAGGAATGCTTTCGCCCGAGCCCGGGCCCCGCCACAGCGGTTCGGTGCCTTCCCTTCGTAGCATCTAGCACCCGCACCAGCGGCAGCACCGCCGACCATCGTGGGGCTGCACTCGGCACAGCCGGCACCTGACGGTACCAGCCGGTGCGTTGTTGGGTGAGGCCTCTACACAAATGGCTTCCAACCTGGCGATGTGGAAAGACTTGTGGGTCGAAGACGCCAAGCCCAGCGACGAGGAGCGAGCGCGGAGCCGTCTCGCTGGCCGTCTTTCGAAGACCAGCCGCGGAGCCGGTCACGTGCCGGACGAGCTGGAGTGTTTTTACATGTCTTTACCTTGGCGCCGCGCGGTGGGGGTAGGTCCCGTTTCTTTCCAAGGAGAAGAGCTCATGCGAACGCGTGAGCCACTTGAGCCACTGCACTATGGTCAAGTGGTTTTGCGCATTGCAAAGTTATTTTTCGGCATTCAACTGCTCCGAAACTCGGGTTGGGGCCATCGGCTGACCATGATGATGGCAGCTTTTTCTGCAGGATGCTGCGAAGAAGGAGGCGGATGTCCAAAAAATCAAGGTGCCATTCCTGCAGGGTCGCAAAACGGGGTCGAAACGCCGGGGGTCGAAGGGCTTGATCTGACCGTCTACACGCGTGGGCTGCTTTCATACTTCTGGTGGCTAGCAAGAAAGCCTTGCCTATATAGCTGAATCTTGCGGGTTGGTAGGCTAATCGGTTGAGTCGAGTACACCCACTGACAGAGAGAGAGAGAGAGATGCATACGTAACGTACACTGATACACATACACATACTCATATGCCCGCCAGAGAGAGAGAGAGAGAGAGACATACTCATACACATGCACCTTGTTTGTTGATACGATCTCCTTCAATTCCGCTTCACATGTTTGCAAACATCATCGGCACTGCAATGCATTTCCAGACTCAAGGGCTCAAGACATAGCACGCCACCTGTTCCATGGACAGATACTATTTGCGCAATGGGCTGAGGGTGCTGCCAGTGGTCTGCAGCAATGCTGAGAAGCATGGAAATGGGGAATGCAGCCCTTAAGCTGGCACAGGGACGTTCTGGGCAAGGGTTATGTTCATGGGTGAATCTTAAGCTTACAGTGCTTACTGTGACGATTTGCTGACAAACACCTATGGAGACCAGGACATTTTTTGGTCCATGTTGCACAGAGGAACAGTAATGTTAGATTCGTATTTACATGCCCCCCCCTCGCCATTTTTCATTGTATTTTTTTAATATTAGTAGTCGTCATCATCGTCGTCGTCGTGGTAGTGGTAGTGGTAGACTATTTCTTTTTGGCGAGTCAGCTTGATAATTATGGATCCTCACTGGGGATTTGAGCCAATTATGGGTCCTTTTTGGTGGAACACTAAATCAAATTTGATCTGGAATTTTTTGAACAATTGGGTTTGACTATTAAATTATGCACCCCCTGGCCCCCTGCCAATTACAAATCTAACATTATATACATGAAGTGGCGCATTTGTTTTCAAGCCAAGTCGCCCAACTCACGGGTGAATGGGGAGAATGGATTGCATATCCCTTTGGTGCAGTCTCGCCCAAATGGGTCCAGCTGAGGTGTTTGCAAGATGCCTGAGATCGTTCACCAGTTCATTCAGAAGTTTGGTGCAGCACATGCGTTTTTGAAGACGCGAAGTCAAACGTGGGATGAACGGTGGAAAGAACGTGCAGCACATGAGAGTGAGACTTGAGAGCAAAGTTGTTGGAGTTTCAAGGCTGTTTGTTGCAAGAGTATCCTGTGGATGGAGGCTTCAGGACCGATTTGACATGTTTGCCTGATCTTTGCTTGGTTTGGTCGCCACCCAGGCCGGCCCAGGCACCCCCACATCTCAGGAAACCAATGAGAACGACCACCACTTCTTAGAGTTGGCTGCACGGCGGCGAGGGTTGTTGGCTGAGGGTTGGTACCATCCAGGACTAGAAGAGGAATACGACTCTGCTTACGGAAATTGTGACCGAAGCTGGTATCAATGTTGCGGCCAGCAGATCTCCCACTCACAATGGACTCATCCAGAATGCATGAGAACCTTGGCGCGTGAGTAGCTCCAGTTTGTTTTCAGTGTGGTTCCGTTTTGAACATCGTTCGTATCTCCAGAATGGGCGAACGACCGTTTTTGGGATGGTTTCCCCTTCAGTTCGGAAGGGCCTGAAGGAGCGTGAGTTGTTGCGTGCTCACGTGCTCAGGACAGCGGCTCGTTCCCGCTCGTCCGTGCACACAGAAGGAGAGGATCGCTGAGACACAGGTGGAGAGTCTTCTCCAAGAACTCAGCGAGATCGAAGAGCAGATGGAGGCAGTGAATCAGATTCTTTGTGTGCAGTGATTGACGCGTGTTTTTTTCCCCCTATATATTCTGTTATTGGATGCTTGTGTAGGCTTATACAGGCATTTCCCCACGCCTTGCCAAAAAGACATCAAAAGACCATCACTGCTCTCAACACGATGGTCACACTTTCAGGAGACCATGCTTCATTTGCGAAGCTTCGGGGCATACCCAGTCCTTTTGCACAGCGTGCAACTGCTACCTCTGTGGACAATTTGGGCACGACTCCAGAAACTGCGCCAGCTCTGCGGGCTGGATCTGCGGCCACTGCACTTCTTCCAACTTTGAAAGGCACGGCTCCGACAGAAAGAAGGTCTCTGACTGAGGTGACTGGGTGGCCGGGCGGCGTTGTCGCAAAAAAGGAGACGAAACAATATCATCCATGGTTTCATTTTTTTGATGCTTTTGCTTTACTTTAAGAAACATATATAGTAGTCTTTAGTAGCTTTGCTGGCTGCAGTTTCCGATTATGGAAGGTGTTAGGAAGGGTGAGGCCCTGCCAAAAAATATTCCCTGCTTGTATTTTTCTGTCAGCATGGTGGCACTTGTTGCCACCAGGCGCAGCCAGTGCTTCAAATGCCAACAGCCACGTCCGACTGGAACGTGCTCATCTGCCCGGCCCGGTGACTGGTTTTGCACATGTGGCACCCAGAACTTTGCACGGCGTGCCGCGTGCTTCCGCTGTGGAAGCCCAAGGGCTGCAGACTCAGCGGAGGAAAAACAAGGAGTTTGCTTTGCAGATCATTCAGGATGTGCTGGCCCGGCCACGAGATCCATTGGGCCAATCCTTGCTTGGCCAAGTAGCTTCTTTCTGTTTTGATGCAGGTCAGGTCAGGTCAGTGTTGAGTTGTGCCACGGCCAGGATCAAGCAAGAGAGCTTGAACTCAGAGTCGAGTGAAGGCCGTGAAGGTCCAGTCCCGAGAAGGTCACCTAAGCAGGTCTTGTGCATCTTTTTTCTCCAGGACCAGGTGACCAGGTGAAGAGAAACACTTATATACATGGTGCTTCTCTGTCTTTCACTATGCTATAGGATGTACTGTTGCCTGTAGGCGGTTGTTGCAAGGGTGTACGCTGGACATTTGTTTGGGTTTCTTCCAAGAGGAATTTCGTTGTCATCCCGTTGGCACATTTCGACCTCCACGATCTCGTCTGACCCGTCACTGCAGGTCGTGACAAAGGGCCTTGGGACCTTTAAAAAGGCCGGGTAACAAGCGCTGTGGGCCACATGTGGGATCAAGGCCTCAAGGGTTCCAAAGCTTCAGCATCATTTGTTGTCAGTTGCTTCTGGATCCTAGCGATCCTAGTGTTTCTGATGACTGTTAGGGTGACGGCTAAACTAGGCCATTGGCTGAATAGGGAAGAGAGACCTCAAAACCGTTGTCACACGACCTGCCTCCTACAACGTGTGTCGTATGTTTGTATGCACAGACAACAAGGACGGTCAGACGAAGTTTGCTAGAGGAATTGGCACTTGAACTCAAAACGATTTGTGCCAGTGAGGCAGCCTGTGGCCTTGATCGAAGGGGCCGTGCAACACACATCAACCGAGTGAGTCTGAACTACAAAACCGTTGCAAAGCACTTCTTGATAGTGAGCAGCCCACTTCTAGCCTTCAAGACCGCCTCGTGAAATTGCTGCAGGCTCATTCGGCAAGTCATTTTTTTGCGTCGTTTTGCTATTACATGGTTGACACGGCATCTCCGCAGAATGTGGAGCAAAGTGGAGGCATTGCCAGGGCTTTATCTTTGATCGTGGCCGAGCTCGGCCACAACTTGTCCACCCTGGCAAGCTACACAAACTTGTTCACACCCTGAAAACCGGCTGTGCCATCCCCCGAATGGGGTCAGATGGCTTACGGACCGCAACTCACGTTTCTTTCAAGAAAAAGACCTGCTTGGGGGTCCTGGCAACCGCGCTGCCTTGGTGGGGGGAAGGTTGATTTCGTGGCCGGCTCTGAGACTCAGAGAGTCTACGTTTGGTGGCATGCTCAGCACTGGTCGACTTCCTGGTTTTGCGTCCTGTTCATTCTCCGTGTGCGTCCGTTGACCGTGCTTTCCGCTGGGGCTCAAAAGAACAGGGGCCACGCGGAGCGGGGCGGAAGAGTCGAGCGGTCGGAGCCTCAAGTGGCCTCAAGGCTCGGGGCCCGTGTCGAAGCGTCGCGGTCTGAGCTCTCGAAGCGTCGCAAGCGTTCCGAACGAGGTCAGTGCTGTGTCGACTGGCAAGCTCTGTGCATTGAGCTTGGCACAGTTTATTTACCTATTGAATCTAAAATTGCACCAGCATCGAGCCCCAACACAGGTGAAGGCAAGCAACTTTCTTTCAGCGAGTGAAACAAAGAGACACGCCTTTCTTGTTGTGTGGTCCCCCTTGGCGAAACTGTCAGCAGCTTCGCGGCTGTTCTATACGAACATTATGGTGAAATAATGTTGTGAGTTATATTGAGAAATGTGTATAGTTAATATGTTTTTGGTTATGTAATATAGTATATATATATAGGTACCACATCTATATAATATGTAAATAACTAACTAACTAACGAACTAAATTTAAAACTATATATATATATATATGTTTATTTATTTATATTTTTCTATTTCTACATGTCCATACTTCTTCCATGGGCTTACTTCTGTCATCCCAAGGCTGGGAGTCGGCACCGGGAGCCGGTGGCGTCCATGAACCCGGAAGTCGGCCACTTGACGAGAAAGAGACCGAGACGGGGCTGGCGCCCGTCTCGGGCTGCTTACGGTGTTCAGTTTCAAAGGTTCTTCTGAACATTGAGAGGTCATTTTTTTGGGTAGATGTTGTTAGACCCTAAGGCCATAGGGGTGTTGTGATGCTGCAAGATTTGAAGCTTGGTGGATTGGTCTGAGAGTCTGCCGCTTGAGTGCAGGACGAGCTTCCCGATTCTGACCTGCTTGAAATGCAAGGCTCTGGAGGTATGGATGGACAAAGCGGGTCCACGGGCACCCCTCCTGGAGGCAGCATGGGTGCCTCCGAAGGAAATGCCATGGCGAATGGCATGGGCTGCGGCTGCATGCCATGTGGATGCTGTGGGTGTCCAGGATGCTGCGGCGGATGTTGTGGATGTCCATGTGGCGGCATGATGATGCCCATGATGCCAATGATGCCTTCCCCAATGATGCCGATGATGAATCCTATGATGGGACTCATGGCCGGAATGGCCAGCATGGCCAGCATGGCGAAGGCCGCCAAGGACCAACCCGCTCGGACCGACGCACCGCCACGTCCGACATGGGGCGATCCCGTTCATCCTCCCGCTTGTTTCGGACGGCACCCGCCGTCTTCGAGAGCGCGTCTCCTTCGCAGCGTCGCACGGCCGACGCCGAGAGCAGCGCCCGCGAGAGACAGGAGAAGAAGAAGCCGCCAGAGCCTGAGAAGAAGGAAGAACCCAAAGAGACCACTCCTGCGGTGGAAGCCTTCAATCCGGAGGCCTGAGACGAGCCTAACGACGAGCCTGATCAGCTTGTGGCCTTTGTCATTTTTGGTTCGTGCTTCATTTGGGTTGTGGGCTTCACTTGGGTGCAGTAGAACCTGTAAGAAGTCCCATTGCTTGGGTCTGACATGGCGTGAGGAGCTTCAAAAGCGCTTGTTGATTGCCCAGAGTGAAGCGGTGCAGGACCTTGCCGGGCAAAGCGCAGTTCAACAGTTGAATCCAAACCTCATGCGCAGGTGAATTGTGCCACTAACATGTTGGAAAAACAATCCTTTGGCATTTTCTTGGCATTTCTGACACGGAAGGTAGGAACGCCCTTGCACACATGCAAGCATATGCGCAAGAGAAGTGGCATCCCTGACTACAGATTGGTGAGGCCAAGCCTGCAGTAGACGCTGACGAGGCGGATGGCACATCTTCAATCAGACTGCTCTTGAAAATCTCATCTAGGTTTTCTAGCACCGTCGTGGTTGTGTTGATGCTGCTGCAGAGCAGGGGCTGTTTGTTGGGTCAGCTTCAGGATCCGAATTTGATGCGTTCATGATGTGAACTGAGGTCATTTCATTGGTACACTTTAAGTATTTTCTCACAAGCATTGCTTTGGGGCGTTCTATCCTGACAGGATGTGGACCATCCTTCGCCAGAAAGACGTCCTTCGCCAGAAAGTAGTGATGATGAGGAGAAAGAGGATCATAGCGAAGAGCCTCCTAAGGCGCGAAAGAAGCTTTCGGACGACGGTCTCCTCACACCGACTGAGCCACTCAACGAACATGCCGTGCGATGCCTTCTGCCAGGACAAAGAGAAAGAAGAACCCCCTGCGCCAGGCACCGAAGCTCCTGCGCCCCCACAGGCGGACGACTCGGAAAGCTCTGAGGATCCACCACCTTTGCCACAGAGTCCCAAGGGTCCTAAGGAATCCAAGGAGCCTGGGCCGCAGCACATGAGGCAAACGGTCTTGGGCAAACATATTTAGTGGTAGCATGTGGTAGCAACAATAATTAACTAAGCAACAGTAAGATAGAATAAGTAGTCTTAGTATATATATATATAGATATATACACACAAAATATTACAATATGTATTTTTTATATAGGGATTTGAAGCAAAAAACGCACATACACACACTGTGGAAGGTGACCCCCAAGAGCCTGGGGAGCCAAGGAGAAGGATCCGGAGAAGCTCGGTCCGTGGCCGGGCCCTCCGCCCAACACCGAGCGCATGGATCCGCGCATGCTGGAGACGCTCAAGCAGCTTCGGGCGCTCCAGGGTGGTGCTGAAGAGCAGAAGGCCAAGCGAATGAAGGCGGCCGGCCAACCCGTTCGCCCACGGTTTTGGGGGGGAAGAGATGTGGGTGCACGGCCTCCCTCACGTTGGAGCAGGGCATGCCCTAAACCGTCAAAACTCTGGGCACGAACGAAGTAATCAGGCTTGGCAGGATGCCATATTTAATATATTTACCCTTGGGCAGGCCGACTTGTGGGCGCTGCACGCCACCCGGTTCTTGGCACCACTCCGCCCGCTCCGGGCCTGAATTCGACCCGGACGCGCCGGACTCCCCGGAACCGTCGGGAGGCGGCCACCGCCGCGGCGGAAGAGATCACCATGTCCCTCGAGCGGAAGGACGCCGCGCCGCCGCCGGAGCCGCAGCCTCCGGCGCCCACGGAGCCGGTGCCCGCGCCGCCGGAGCAGGAGCGAGCGAAGCGAAGCGAAGCGAAGCGGAAGAACGGTGATGAACTGTGGCCCCGGGATGGTCCGGGGGGGCAGGTGATACAGAGGTGTTTTTTTGTTGGTGTAGAGTGAGTGAGAGTGAGTGAGAGAGTGATTTTCTCACACTCCTAGAGCCCCTTTGAATTAAAGTGGGCGATGACAGCACATTTCAGTTGCATAGGACTCTGGCCTAGCCGACTCAACCTGCATGTTCGTATGCTTGTTTCATACAGACTTGCAGCGCATGGATTCGGAAGGACGAGAAAGAGGAGAAGGAGGATAAGGAGGAGAAGGAGGAGAAGGAAGACAATCGCATGGCGATTGTGATCCATTGGAGTACTGTTCGGGGCTTTGGCATTTTGCGGTCACAGGCGCACGGAGAGGTCACCTTCCAGGCGGCCTCCTTGACGAACACCAAAGAGCTCTCGGTGGGCGACATGGTGACGTTTGAGATGGGCTTCGACAAAAAGAAAAACAAACCCGAAGCGACCCACATCTTCAAGGCAGGGCAGGGCCGTTCCGTGGTTCCACCGTGTCCGGTCTGTGGGAGCTCGGTGCTCGGTCAGGTGGGTGCTGGAGCTCCGGGAGAAACTTCGACCAGTTCCACCAAAGACTCCGAGGTCGAGAAGAAAGATGCCAAGGATTCAAAGGAAAAAGAGAAGGACAAGGGAAAGGAAAAGGATAGCAAAGAAGCTGGGCGCTGGCAATTTTTCAACAGTTCATGTACATACATAATTTCGTATACCTATTTTTTTTCCTAGCCCTCAGGTTTTGCTGTAAAATGCCCATACTGCTGAGCCAACAGTTCTCTGAACAGACATGCCAGTCCTTGAAACCAAGGACAAAGGTGGCAAGAAAGCGAAATCACGTTCCTTGGCCCATCAGTGGCTCTACTTGGTGCACGCGGCACCATGTTTTCTTTGTTTTGCTTGTCATGCATGGTCTTTTTCCGCTTCTTTGCGGTTGTTCTCTGTGAAGGACCGCGCTCGTTCCTGCTGGTTTTCTGTTCTTTTTTTGGTCGCAGGAATTTGCCAATGTAGGATCAACGAGGCATCCCGCGGCCCAAGGACACCCTCAGGCACGCGAGAGGCCAAAGCGCATGGTGCACGATTGCCAAAGCGCTACCGATCATGTTGAACCCTGCTACCCGATGCTATCCCACAACTTTTGCCAGAGACTTTCTCTCTGTAGGGCCCGGATGGGTGCCATTTGGGCCATGGGTGTTCTTTGTGCTGAGGCTCTCGTCGCCGTCGTTCGTCTTCTTCCTCCTCTTCCTCGTCCTCGTCGTCCTCGTCCTCCTCGAGGAAGAAGAGACGACGAAAGTCGCGGTCGCGGTCGCGCTCGAAGCGCCGCAGAAGATAGGCTTCGGTCTCAGTGACAAGTCAATGTCTTCACACCAGTCGTTGGTGGTTTTACTTGAGTTCCTTCAAACTGGTGGTGACTTGGTTCGGAACTTCTCCGCTGTGCGCTTTGCTGTTTTTTGGGTCCGGCCAGTTGGTGTGAGATTTCCTTGGACCACTGCTCTTCTTCAAGAGTGACCACGAACCACGAGCTTTTTGCCACCACGCGTGGAATACGCTTGGAAGTGTTGTTTACTACTTTTTGCTGAGTCAGTCATGCCATGAGCTTCAATCTTCAGGTTCATTGCGGGAAGCAGCGCGCCACTCGCGGCATGAGTGGTAGCGGTTGATTCGTGGTAGCGGTTGATGAGGTAACTTCGCAAAGCGCACGAAATGTAAAAAGGGCCGCCAGCGGCCAGCGCCACGAAATTACATGATATTGAATGAACAGGTGCGGAGCCAAAGAGGGGCTTCCCACCGAACGCGCCCATGAACGCGTGAGCTGTGCTCCAATGGCAGGGTGAAGGTTTAACTGAATTTCTGGGATCCACGTCTTCAGCACCGCACGGTAAAGCTAAACCCTCATTTCCAGGATTTCTGCTGCCATTTCTGATTGCTGCGTGAAGTTGGTGATTGCAAGACTTTTTCTAATAATAAGCCCAGGATGATGACACAGGCAACCTGTGGCCGTTTGCTGTTGCGTTCTGGCTGCACAGCTGGTGGAAGTGTATGTAAGCTCGGGACAGCCATAGGCCGCACCCTTGTTGCGTTAGCACCTTCCGCGGGCTCCACACATGGTACCAACCGTCTTCGGAACATTCCCTCCACGATGGTGTACCATCTAATGTCCAAGAACGCTGTTCCACACGGCTGTCTGGGGGTGCATGAAGACGTCCGTCCCACCGACCGACCGACCAGCACCGAGCTGCACCGACCGAGCGGCGGAACCTTCGCGATGACGCCATGGCGGCCGCGCTGCGCGTGGGCGATGTGGTGCTGCTCCAGGGGCTTCAGCGAGGCTTCAATGGTCGCAGGCGAAGTCGATGCGCTCAGAGAGTGCTGAAAAAGGAAGGGCTTGACATCTGTATTTGCACGATTGTACACCTGTACATACCATATTGACCTCTATGTTTGGCTCAAGAAAAGGGCGCTCTGCATGTTGGTACTTGTAGGCTGTTGGCCTGTAAATTCAGGTTATCAGCCGTATCGCCAAAGAGCGGTACGCGCCAGTGTAGCTGTGTCACCTACCCACCCTCGTATTGCGCACACGTGAGGTGGCATGGCTGGTAGGCCCATCGAACCAATTCGAGATGGCACGGATCGATCGAGGTCGAGAGTTGGTGATGCCGATGAGAATGGGTCATATGTACAGACGGAAGTCTTCACTTCAGAGCCTGGTGATGACGCATTGGTTGAAGCACGTGGGAACGCGTTGCCATCAGTCGTTCCGACTGGTGCTATTGCTTTATCTCCCACCAGTCCTGCCTTTGTCCCGTCAAGTACATACAACGATTCAAGACAAGTCATTCATCAAACGGCGAACTTCCACGATCAGAGAATGATCAATGTCAATCTGGACAAATCCGCTGAGGTCGCTCAAATTGCAGAAGTGCGACACAGGGAACTGATGTCCAAGAAAGATGAAGAAGTGAAAAAGACAGTGGAAGCAATTCACCGCGAGGCACAAGACCATGTCAAGGAGCAACTCGAGTTACAAGAACGAAGGGCTGCATCTTGGGCTGCGAACGAACAGGCTAAGATGAATGCACACGAAGCAGTCATCAAGAATGCTGCGTTGACTGAAGCTCAACTATACAATCATAATCTGACAGAATTGCAACAACAGGCACAGAGTCGTGAATCGCAGTTGAGAGAGGAATTGAGAACACAGACCGAGCTCATAAGAGAACTTCGAGAAAAGATGGAAACATCCGCTCGAGGGAGCTTGGAGCCTGCTGGAATGCCAGCGAACCTCAGGACAACTCTTCCCGGTCCAATGGGATCAAATGAGCTGCCGTTGGGTCAACCATATTGCCCAATGCAAAAGTCGATGACTGACAGCTCGGGCGAACCCTACCGTGATGCTCTTGCGAGTGGAGCGGTCAATGTTCCGAAGACAACCGGAGGTGGTCCTCCTGACCATCCCAGTTCATCAAGTTCGTCTTCATTCGATGACAAGAAGAAGAGCAAGAAAGACAAGAAGAAAAAGAAGAAGGACGACAAGGAAGAGAAACGCGGCAGGTCACCCCACAAAAAGAGCAAAATGAAGAATAAAAAGGGGTCGCCTTCACCATCCGCGTCGCCTTCATCGTCAAGCTCATCTTCTGAGGATTCGTCCTTTGCCCGTAAGGTAAGGAAACATTTGAAGAAAATGAAGAAAGAGGATCGTGAACAGAGGGCTAAAGAAGCCGAAAAGATCCTCATACCTAAGTTTCCTACACCTGAAAGGTACAGGGACTGGCGAATTAAGGTTCGGGACAACGTGTCAGCAGCGTCTGCTAAGCCGGACAAGGCCAGGTTGTGGCTAGGTAAGGTCTATGAAGACGCTATGACCACTAAGGACTTGGATGACTCCGAGGGATTCATCACGCTGGATGCCAAACTTCTTGCGAGTCCCACGAACTGTGCGGAGGGGGACCTTGCTCGCCAATTGAACACGTTTAAGGAAACCAAGGAAAAGGCGAAGGAACCCATCAAAGGACGACAGACTCTCCTGTTGTTTCATGAGTACTTCGCGACATCCATAAAACACGGTGCTATTTAGGAGGTTGAAGATCTTATTTGTGTCAAAATGGTGAACGAGGACCTTAAAGGTTTTGTTACTCGATGGGAGTCTGTCATTGCGGGCATGCGAACGGAAGTTGACAAGAAGTGGCTTGAGGCATATTTTCATCTTGCTGTGAAGAACTTTAAGCCTTTAGCTCATGACCTTGCCATCTACGAACGCGCCTCGGAAGGGAGTGCTGAAAAGACTTATGACTTTTTGATTAAGTCAGCCAAGGCGTACCTCGAAAGGAAACGTTTGGAAAAGATGAGGGATGCCACGAAGCGTAGTCTTGGAGGTAAAGACCCTGCAGCTGCTGTCATTGACCCGAATGATAAAAAGCCAAAAGGTGTTTGTTATGAGTTTCAGAATAAAGGAAAGTGCAGTAGGCGCGACTGCCCATTCAAGCATGAGAAACCCCGTGAATCCAGCAAAGGGAGGCCCAAAGGTGGTGGAAAGGGTAGGTCTTCTTCACGTGGGAGGTCGTTGACTCCGGGTTCAAGATCAGAAGTTTGCAAGTTTTGGAAGTCTGGTGATTGTCACCGGGGAAAGAATTGTGCTTTCAAACATCCTGATCGTTCTTCTACTCCTGCCCCGAGCGACGACAGAAAGAAACGAAAGAAGAAGAAGAAGGAGAAAAGAGAGAAGAAGAAAAGAAGTATATAATTCTCGTGGCTCCAACGGTTCTGGCGGTAGTCAGAAATCTAAAGGTGGGAAAGGTGCTCCTTCTAACCCAGCCGCTGTTTGTCTTCTGCGCACTCTGGTCTTAGCTACTGCGGTCTCTTCATCGCAGCCTGCTACTATCAGTTTCCCGTTGGAAAACTTGGCCATGGTTGCTACACCTGCCACCAGTTCTTCTCCATCGTCTTTTGTTGACAAACCAGAAGTTTTTAAACGCGTGGTTCATGGTAATTCTTTAATGTTTCCAGTTGCTGCACGTACACAAAGCAAGCGTGTCAGATTTCCCATAGGCCATAAAGGAAACGCTGAAGTTTTGGAAATGGCGTCTGAAGATGCATGCATTGCAGCAGAACGTTTGAGCCGAGCAGGTTCAAACGAGTTGAGCGGCATCGAGGCACGTTGTCGATATCTCTGCGATTCGGAAATGGGATGCAAGCATTGTTTCAAGAATCAACAGGTTACGGTGCCTGCAACCGAGATCGCATGGATTGCCGACACTGGCAGTGCTAATGATTTGGTGTCTAGGGAAATGGTCAATCGTAACGAAGTATTTGAATCCTCGAAACCGGTTAGTCTCTTGACGGCTAACGGAGTATTCCAGGCTAATGATCAGGCTAATCTAGACATTCCCTTGTTGGGAATCACTGCAAAACCCTATGTTCTTGATGATAGTCCAGCAGTGATCTCCGTGGGACAACTATGTATTGATCATGATTGGTCGTTCATTTGGCCAGCAAACGATACACCGTATTTCAAAAAGCCAAATGGGCAGAGGATCAAACTTCAAGTGAAAGACTATGTTCCTTATTTACCATCAACCAGTGGTATGGCTATGACTGCTATCGGACACAAGTATGAAAAACACGCTTCCGGGAACGGCAAGTCTTCGTACATTCCGATCCCTACGTCACCTAGCGTAGAGGAAGCACCCCATGAGTCTGCTGAAGCGGAACCCGAAGCAGTCGATGCCAGATTAGTCCCCGATCCACCAGCGGAAAAGCGTGATCGTGGTGAACAAGCCTTGAGGCAAGAAGCAAAGTCGCTTGCGCACTTGTTGACGCATGTTCCAAAGAACCCGTTTTGTACGACGTGTTCAAGGGCTAAGATGACTAAGCCGCCATCGTACAAGAAGGGAGGTTCCGAAACTGTTGATGCTGACAAATTTGGTGACCACATCACTGCAGATCATCTAATTCTTCGGGATGATGAAGACGAGGCTATCGATGGTTCGAGAAACGCTTTAGTCATTAAAGACATAGCTACGGATTTTAGATATGTGTATCCGTCAGCTAGGAAAACGACTAGAGATTGCGTTCTCGCGTTGAAGCACTTCACCCGGGGACGGGATGACATCGGTGTGTTCTATTCCGACAACGCAGAAGAACTTGTGAAAGCAGCATCAGAATTAAAATGGAGACACGTCACTAGTGTTCCCTACATCTCCAAGAGCACTGCTCAAGCGGAGAGGAGTATTCGATCCGTTCTCGATGGAACTCGCATCAATCTTGAGCAAGCGGGTCTGCATCACACCTACTGGACGCATGCTGCAAGACATTGTTGCATGGCGCGCAACATACTCGGTGACCAGGAAGCTCGGACGCCATGGCAACTCAGGTTCAATGAGAAATTCAAGGGACCCATGATCCCTTTTCGGGTCAGGATTGACTATTGGACCGGACCAAAAACCAAAACCAAAGAAAAATTGAAGTTCGATCCTACCTCACTTCCAGGAGTGTTCTTGGGATATAAGATCCACCCTGAATTCTCGTGGAGAAAGGAGTTTCTTGTTCTCCCTCCTAAGGAGGTGTTAGACAACAACTTTGTTCTGACAGTAGTGTGCCATGGGTTGGAACTAACAAACTCGCCCTGCCTGATGGAGACTTTGTGTTTCCACTCAAAGATAGGCATAATGCAATCCGTGAGGGTCGCATTCCATGCTACATGATATCGGACGATCCTCCCAAGCCGGAAGATGAAGATGCAAAACCTGTGGAGGAGCTGATTGACAAAAGTCCGATGGAGAGTAGTAAACTGTCTAAAGTCCCTTCAACTGATGAGATGGTTGATCTTCCGAAGAAAGGTGCGTTCGAAAGTGGCGTATATGATCCTGGTGAAGATGAAGAAGGCAAAGGAGGTTCTTCATCGTCCTCATCCGGTAAGCCCAAAGATCCACCCAAGGATCCCTTCGACCCTTCGAAGGTGTACCACCTGAAGATATGGTTGAGGTTGTTGATCCCGTTACAGGTGAAGTGACTTCCACCCCAAAGGAAGGTTCATCATTCTACAGTGCGGGGGGATACAAGACTAGGAAATACAAAGGCGCTTCCAAACCAGATGTACCATCATTTCTTTGGAAGGCCGCTTCAAAGGCAGCTCGTGAGAAAGAAATTAGGAGATATGAGCTCGAAGAAGCGAGGAAAAGGTTCAAAGCTGCTGCAGCAAAGGTCAACGACTTAAACAAAAATAGTCCTTCTTCCCCGAGGGATCGGGTTGACCAAGTTGATATTCCTGCTATGCCTGTGAAAGAGGTGACCAAACATGATCACCGTGACAGACTAGCCACGGCACATGAACTCGTAAGAGACATGA